TTTGCTTGGTTTACTTCCACAAACTCTTAGCAATATGATCAAGTAAGCAGCAGGTCAGATTCCCAAAAGAGGATAGCGGAAGAACTATCATACCAGTGTCAAGAACATGTTTGGGAAGATTTGTGGGTATGAAACACTAAATAAAAGTAAAATGGCCACATGACTTGTCATATGTTGCCAGTGCTTCTACTTTTATGTGTTTCACCATGATAATGGGAAAAAATCAGATTTAGATTTTTCTTGTCAAATTACTTTAACTTTTAAGTACTATGTAGAACAAGACCAGTTACTCTTCTATGTGCACTGGAGGAAAGTAACATTTGGAAAAGAATCTAATTGATTAAACAGTATTACAGATTTGCAACAATAGCTATGTTTAATGCCCACCTTCTTGGTCTTTCAATTCTTTGTTAAAAGCAGGGCTGGGGTTCAGCTGGTATGCAATAGCATGGCGTACTGACAGCTCTCTGAAATTACTGTCTTGTTTTCCCACACAGTCAGTTTTCATTTCAAAATAGCAGCAGCAACAACAGCAACAAAGTCTCTGGTTGTCATGGTTGTGATGAGAACCTCAGAACTGGGACCCGAGTCTACAGGATGCAGCGATGGCTATGGGCATGTCTCCATAGCAGCTGGGAGGCATAAAGTCCAACGTAGGCAGACATATATGTGCTCGCGGGGCTTGAGTTAGCAACCTAAAAATAGCAGCATGGCCAGGGCAACACAGGCAGCGGCTTGGGCTAGCCAGCCAAGTACATACCTGCAGGGTTGGGCAGGGCAGCTAGGCTGAGCTGTTAGGCCACACTGCTATTTTTCGGTGCCAGACTGAGCAGAACTAGCTGGTGTATGGGGAATTACACATCTTATCTGCTGGGTAGACATCCTCTCTGTGAGTCTGCAGAGAGTCTGGAACATTATCTCTGAGAGGTTTGAACTGCCCCATTCATCTATGTGAAGTGTCAACTCTGATGCCTAGTGATGATAATGTAAATATTGTTTGTGACTGGTTCGGTCACAGAGACCCCCTTGGGACTGTCACCTGATGTGCTGAGTTTACCTCTGGGCCCATTTTGCCTGCCAGCTTGGGACTCCAGAACCTTGTCTTGTTGAGCCAGACACACTAGCTTGCTGCAACACTGACCCAGGTTTGGGCCATGCCCCCAAAGCTGCAGACTTTAACCAAAAACTGATCAGCAGGTCACCTATCTCCAACACCCAGACACCCAGCTCCCAGTGGGATCCAAACCCTAAATAAATCCGTTTTACTCTGTATAAAGGTTATACAGGGTAAACTCATAAATTGTCCGTCCTCTATAACACTGATAGAGAGATATGCACAGCTGTTTGCTCCCCTAGGTATTAATCACTTACTCTGGGTTTATCAATAAACAAAAGTGATTTTATTAAGTATAAAAAGTAGGATTTAAGCGGTTCCAAGTAATAACAGACAGAACAAAGTAAGTTACCAAGCAAAATAAAACAAAACACGCTAGTCTAAGCCTAATACATTAAGAAAGTGATTACAGGTAAATTGCACCCGCAGAGACGTTCCAATAAGCTTCTTTCACAGACTAGACTCCTTCCTAGTCTGGGCCCAATCCTTTCCCCTGTTAGTCCTTGTTAGTTCTGGCAGGCATTTTAGGTGAAAAGGAGGGGCTTTCTCATGACTGGGATCCCCCTTGTTCTGCTCCACCCCCTTTTATAGCTTTGGCACAAGGCAGGATCCTTTGTCTCTCTGGGTCCCCATCCCTCCTAAATGGAAAGGCACCAGGTTTAAGATGGATTCCAGTATCAGGTGACATGGTCACATGTCACTGTAAGAACTCATTTTTCATTACCCACGTGACTTGTCTACACAGGCAGACTTGCAGGCAAACAGAGCCATTTACAGTCAATTGTCCTAGTCAATGGGAGCCATCAAGATTGTAAACCACCATTAATGGCCCACACTTTGCATAATTACAATAGGACCTCAGAGTTATACTTCATATTTCTAGTTTCAGATACAAGAATGATACATTCATGCAAATAGGATGAATATATTCAGTAGGTTATAACCTTTGTAATGATACCTTACAAGAGACCTTTTGCATAAAGCATATTCCAGTTACATCATATTCACATTCATAAAGCATATGGAGTGCAAAGCACACTGTTAACTATTTAATTGCTGGTGTAAGAAAGCAGAGGGAGATTCACAGCAATGTACAATTCACTGAGTCATGTCTCCTTTTGGTGCCACAAGTGGCTAGTGTTTGGGAGATACCATCACTTACTGTTCTCCCATCATGAAGAAGCCAAGCTGAAGGAGACTAGCAAAGCCCAGGGGCATATCCAATGTCCCACGCAAGGAGAGCCAAGCTCAAGGAGCCCAATGGAGCCCAGAGAACTCATATTATCATATTTTAAACATCTGTACAATCTACTGTGAACACTCTCATTTTGGCAACTCATGTGGGTGGAGCTTATTTTGTGGGCAGAGCTTGGAAGAGTAGAACTAGTATCATTTTCCCTTCAAGTCAACCCCTGTTTAAAACACACTTTTCCGACAAAGCCTTTTAACAATAACTCACCAGCGAAAGAAAATTGTCTGTCTGTCCTGCTTTGAGAGAGAGCTAATGCAGATTGTGTACTGTTTGTTTAAGTCAGACTGTACATGCCTGACCTTGTCTACTCTGGCTTTTCTTTTAAAACCTCCCACCTTTGCAGCTCCGTTTGTGGTAGCAGAGGTGGAAATGCTGGTGTAGATCAGCTGCCAGTGTTTTAACTGCTGTGTCATCTGCAGGGCTGCACAGGGGGAATTATAGCTGTGGGAGGTTTTAAGAAAAATGGCAGCGTAACCACAGTCCTTGGGGCAGTGCAGCACCCATGTATTCCTCTGTGTCCATGTACATTGAAGGTGCTCCTTAAAAAATAGCAATACATTAAAAGAGACATGTCACATAGCTTGTTTGAAAAACAAAAGACTGAGGGCATAACCAGAAGTGTGTGAGCTGAGGGGGAACTGCAGCAGCTCATTTAGTGCATCCCTGAGGAGGGAGGCAGAACAGATTTCCTCACCATCTAATCCATCTCTGGATAGGCCTTGAATCTGAGCAGAGGAGTGGGCTCTCACACTCTCTTAGTTATAGGGTACACAAAAATGGGCCAACCGAAAGAATCCCTTTGTCATGCAGTACTCAGAGAGGGAAAACTTATGGGATTTAAGAACATAGGAGACAGGCAAAGAACCACCCAGGATAGACAGGGATGGTGGAGCCTTATTTGTGCCCTAGGTAACAGCTGGTGGTACAGGAAGCATTCAGACTCAGATACAGGGTGCCTAAGCTGCACCCAGAAAACACGTGTATGTGCCTAATGTGCACGCTTTGTGTTTGCACACTCAAATGGCTGCTTTGCACATGCAAACACCTGCTCATACATGCACCAGTTGTACAGGTGAAATGTAAAAGGGCCAGTTTAGAAATGAGGTTAATAAAGGCACCCAGTGCCTCATCTCTATATTCATTTTTTCCAGTGCTTGAGCTAAAATTGTAGGCCTGTCCCCTGTACTAGGTGATAAAAGAGAACAAGTTGTCCCTGCCTTCTCCATTCTAGCACCCCTTTGTGGTCTAGTGCAGCCCCAAACCACAAAGTGAGCCAGCCAGGCAAGGCACGCAAGCCCTTTGATGAATTTATCTGAGTGGCTGAAAATGTGCCAGTGATTAAATATTTGCAGTCACGATTGCTGCAAAGTTTAAAAAAAAAACACTTCGTTTTAAGCGGCTTTTACTGGCGGGCTCCTGGGCACAAACATTTGCTTTGCAAACGTATGTTTCCTATTCAAATTCAGTGCTGCCCGCTCCCCCTTTCACTCTACCCTATTCAGCTTGCCTCTGTCCTCCTGCTGCTGATTTGCATGTAGCTTTCACCCGGCAGAAGGCTCCCGCTGAGGCTGCTGGGACTTGTAGTCTACATCAAAACTACGCAGGCGTTTGGGAGATTTTCGTGGGAATTTTAAAGACTCTTCCAGGAGGCGCCTCCAGACTCAAGTACTGAGGTACATACAAAGAGTACTAGACCCCTAACCATGCGTGCATTAGATTCCCGGGGAAATCTCAATCTAGAAGTAGATTAGAAAAATTAAGAGATGCAGAGAACTGCCCATTTATTTGGCTTTTTCAGTGCATGAAAATATAGCCTTTGCATTTACACAGGCAGTTCTAGCTATGAAAGTGGAGGAATGGAGACATCCCTAGCTACAGAGATATTGCGAGATATAGAGCCCCAGCATCGCATTAACCAGGAAAGAAGCTAGATTTAGCAACTGGAAAGCCAGAAAGGGTTTATTTGCTTTTATATTGTATCTCATCCCTTATCCCTTGTCTGGTTAGACTGTAAACCCTTCAAAGCAGGGATTGTTTCCTTTCTGTATTTGTACAACACCCAGCACAGTGGGGCCTCAAACCCAAATGGGGCATTTGGGTACCACCATAATATAAATATTTAACAATACTAATGACGGGGTTGCCCCTTTTTTATTTGCCTTTTTCGGATGTGTCACACCTAAACAAGCAAATTTAGCTATAATCCGAAGACGTGGGGGGGAAAAATCGGCATTTCCCAGTGTCTGCACATCTCTCTCGCTCCAGTCCCAGCGATAGACGATCAATTATGAGCTAAGCTTTCGCAAAGCACGTGGAGACCAAACGACGCATCATCCCACGCGCGTCTCAGATGGAGAAGAGGGAGACCGATGTGTCCCTCCCTCTCCACCTATGTTTGTGGATTTGAGTCGCAGCGCGGTTTGCAGCCCTCTCCGCCGCCTTTGGCGAACGAGCGCCCGCCTCGCGTTCTTATTTCAGCGGCGGCTGCTTCATGGCAGCCCTTGCGCCTCGCCCCGCCCCGCCGCGGGTGGGAACTACAAGCCCCGTGGGCCTTTGCGCCCCCGGGGCTTGTCTCCCGTGGGGAGGCGGGGCCGGAGCCCGGCTGGGGGGCGGAGGGAGAGGATGGTACAAAGCTCGGCGCGGCGGCTGGCAGGCAGCGGCCGCCTCTGTTCCCCGGCGCCCTGCGGGAGGTCATTGCACAAGAGGGGCTGGAGCCAGGGCTCTTCGCAGGCTGCGGTTCCCGGTGCATGGGGGACAAAGCGACAGCTGCCGCCTGCTGCTGCCGCCGCCGCGTGGGGGCGGCCCCGCCTACCTCTGCCCCCAGCTGCCTGTGGTGGTGAGGAGGAGGAGGAGGAGGATGACTCTGGCCGAGGGTGTCTCACGCCTCTTCTGAGCCCCTGAGACGTTTGCTCCCGGCCGCCCGTGGCCTTTGGATGCTCTTTGCAGCGGCCGCCGCCCCCTGGCCGCGCCCCGCGCCCGCAGCGCCATGCACACCGTGCAGAAGGACACTACCTTCACCAAGATCTTCGTCGGGGGGCTGCCCTACCACACCACCGACTCCTCCCTGAGGAAGTACTTCGAGGTGTTCGGGGACATCGAGGAAGCGGTGGTGATCACCGACCGGCAGACGGGCAAATCCCGGGGATATGGCTTCGTAAGTGCGGCGTGCGCCCCTCCCCCAGCCCGGGCAGGTGCCGCGGTGATGGGCGCGGAGAGGAAGGCGGGCGTCAGCCGGGACTGGTGGCCAGTTCGCTTCCTCGTGTTGGCCCTGGTAGCCCGGCTCAGGCATGTCCCAGAGGAGCCCGGTCTCCGAAGCGGGGGTAGTTGTGATAGTAACTTGCTTTGTGTCGGTTAAACAGCCTGGGATCCCCCCCGCTCCCAGGGAAGAAAGCCCTTACCCCAGTGAAACACTGTCCTCCCCTCCCCCCGTATCCCATTAGCCGCCTCTGGTTGTCAGGTGTGGCTCCTTACAGCCCTTTCTTCCCCTGGCTTCTCTCTAACGCAGGGGAGAATCCCCCTGTATGCCCCCCACGCTCTCCCTTGGGCAAGACCTGCCCTGCTCTTGCACCAGCTAGCTCGCTTGGGGATTACACAGGGCTGGGTGGTTTGGAGGTCTCTTCTGTACAGAGCCATCCTCTGCTAGAAAGTTGTTTCCCACTTCTTCAGCATCGCTCAGATCTGTTTTCCTTCCTGTAGGACAGACTGCTGGACGCAGGAGAGCTTGGGCCGAGGGCGTGAGGCAGAAAGTAATTCCCCCCCCCCCCCCCCCCCCAAGACAAAGGCCTTTGATTGAGAGCATTGGGATGAGAGCCTCCAGTGCTGGCTGCTCTGTAGTTCATTTCAACACCCCTTCCCCCACGCGTTGCTGGCTTGTTTCTTTAGAGCGCTTCAGTGAAGCACATTCTGTGCAGCCCTCAATTTCTGCATCTTCTGTATGATTCATGAGTGTGTCCTTTGCTTCAAGTTTCCCTGAGCAGCCTCTGCTTTAGGGAGTGTGTGGGGGAGAGGGATTAAGTTACTCTAACAACTTGTGCCTGCTAGAGTGGAGAAAAAAATTGCTGTCCGATTCCCCAGGAGAGAAACTTGTTGGTGCTTTCTGTTTTCAACCCAGTGCACAGGACCCATTCTTGTCCCTCTTCCCCCTCCCCCCACGAACTGAGATTTCAAGAAAGCAAATTTAAGCCCTCACCCAAAAGAAGCAAACTTCATCAAGCCCCAATCAGTGCAGGTTTTGTGGAGCACCATTGCTACAAAACAGGTTGTGTTTAACTCCAGGTGACCATGGCAGACAGAGCTGCAGCTGAGAGAGCATGCAAAGATCCCAACCCCATCATTGATGGCAGAAAAGCAAATGTGAACCTGGCATATCTGGGAGCAAAACCAAGGAGTATTCAAACTGGTGAGTTCTCTGCTCTCTCTGTTCGAATAAGCCTTAGTTGTAAAATGGGAAATGTGTTGGTAATTGATCTTAAGGCACTGGCCCCTCTATTTAGTGCATTATGTAATTCAGCTTTCTCTGCTCCCTGTTTCCTTACTTGAACCTTCTATGCCAAAATTACACATAGTTGGGGTAAAGACATTGTTCCCAGAATCTAATGCATTTATAGTCGTCTTCTTAAAACTGCTATAGTATATTGTTTCTACCACTCCACCTTCTTGATTCTATGGGTTTATTGCACGTTGTAGAAAATGAGTGCTCATCTCTTTGTATGACTGAGTTTTCTGTGTTCCTAATTCAGAATTCCTGTCTGATCTGCATGCATGTTACAATCATTTTAATATACTCATGTATCTCTAAAAAATATTCTGTTAGGGAGTTTAAAATGTTTTCTCTCTCTCTCTCACACTTGTAGTTGTGCATGTTTGCATTATAATACCTACACGCTACAGTGAATGCTTTTGTTTAATACTAATGCTTTTTCAGGTTTCACTATAGGTGTGCAGCAGCTACATCCAGCCTTTATTCAGCGACCATATGGGTAAGTGGAAGTATTTTTTTACTTCAGTCAGTTTGAAGTCAAATGCTTGAATCAACTTCCTCATTTTTAAAATGTGTGAGAAAACTCTAAGTCATAAAGAGGAATACAGCTTCAGCAGCAGTAATTCAGCTTCATAATACTTTTTGTTTAGGTGAGTCTTGGAAAAGTTGTGTCGCATGTCTTTTTGTTTTTTTTTGTTTTTTTTTTTTAATTTGTCAGTTTTCATATGACTCCGAAAGATCCTCTTTTCAGCATCAGCAAATCAGTCCTCATAAATCACGAGAGATTTGTTTTGTAATACATTGCTTGCTGCTTTAGCAATTCAAAGAATGCAGAAGAATCCAAATAAATGGCATATATTTTTCTTGTCATAATATTTAAGGTGTCAACAGTCAAGGAAATAACAACATGTTCCATAGCATGTTTTTCACATAAAAATCTGCTCTCTCCATCTTATTTCCCATGGAATCACACTTGGGGTACAATTTTAGTCAGGGAAACCAACTGAATTGGAAACAAAGTCTAATACTTAATGAAAGTAACATTAGGTCAAAAACTGATTCTGGACAGATGTTATACAGGGCTTGAATAGTCTGCAAAAGTGGGCTTTTGTCTGCTGTTTTCAATAGCTTATACCATCCTGACTCAGTCCGAGAAGTCCTCTTTTTATACATCTAATAGGATCTGGCAGCTGCTCTGGAAAATACAAGTGTGCTTCAAGAGAACAATAGCTACTGTCATACTGCCTTCATTTAACTGTTTAATGATTGATGCCATTCTTTTTCACATCGTTTCAAAAAGTGACTATTGATAGTGGGTTTTTTGTTTAGAGCATCAAAACAGTGCACCCATTTTCTTAAAGTTCTTGAGCACTGCCATTTTGTAACTTTATATGACAATTTTTTTTTTCTTTTTTGGTTTAACTAAACAATATTCCATTCCTTCCCTGTCCTTAATTCATAGTCTCCTTCTTTCATTCCTGTTCCCTCACACCTATAGGCCCACAACTGTCTTGGTATTCTCATTCCAGCCAGTGTGTGGATGTAAGAGGCAATGTTGCCATAATAGTGCTCACACCATATGCTGGAGGTGTATTGTTGAAACCTGCTAGGTTTCATAAACAGTTAAGTCTGTGCTCGAAGGACTGGAGTATCCTCTATTGTGAAAAGAGTCTTTCCTCTGAGGTGCGAAGAGCAGAAGTGTTTCAGGTAGACAGTATTTTTTTGGTCTTGTCTTTTTAAAGCTTTGTTTGCATGTGAAATACAACAGCTTTCTCAGCCGATGAGACAACCAGTAACCTTGGTATTTCTGGCACACGAACGCGAGAGGCTTTTCTAAAGGGTGCACAAGCATATAATTAATGTAGATCTTAAAAACTGCCCTCAACAAGACTCTCCCCATGTGAAGTGTAAAAAGAAGAAGAATACAGTGAAACAAACTAAGCTTCCACTGTCTTCAGTCGGCTTTGGATCAAGCCCTAACTCATGCAAACATACTCTTGTCATTCCTGTCTCTGACTCTCTGCTCAGCCATATAGGCAGGGCAAACAAATAGGTTCTTTTTTGCAGGGGTTTTTATAACTTCCTTTTAGCTTCACATATTGAGAAGTGTGAGACTGAATAAGTGTTCATTTTGATCTACAGTTAGTGTTCCATTTGTTAGGCCTCAGTTTCATCATTAAAACCAACGGTGGAGTACATTTAGTACATATGACAATGAGCACTACAAATTTATTTATCAGTTGCCAAGAGACCGGGAGGAAGAGGGAGGGGATTATAGATCTCATTTGCAAGCGTCAGGAAACAAGAATTTCATGGCATTCCTCTCTGGCAATGATTTCATCACAGGAAACGTGCGTTGGCAAAAAAGTCATACAGTTTACCTTGGTGCCATGAATTGTACAGTGTTTCCAAAGCAGAGCGTCGGGTGTTCATTTGAGCAACAAAGTCTGACTGTTGGTTTTTTGTCTTTTCAAAGCAATCAGCAAAGTAAAAGCCAGTGTAGGGTCTAATCCTGCATTCATTGATCATCTAAAACTTCACCGGACACCAGTGGGATTTGTGGATCTATTACGCTTGTACAATCAGGCCCCCGTTTTTCACTTTAAGTTTAATTTAGTCATCTCCCACCCTCTTTGGTAGTGACTTGTCTAATGTTTGTAAGTCACTCAACAGTACCTAAATAAGCAACCTGCTTCTAAGCTACCTTCATACTTGGTACAGGGGGCAAAACACTTCCAATGCTGTGCCACCCATGAACATCCCTATTAAAGTGCGAATGTTCCAGTAATGGAATGCTGGCATTTAGAGACAGCTGCCATGGTCCTCTGCATCTCAGATGCTGCTGCAGAACACAGCAATGAAGTGGTTAATAATTTATTAAATGCTACACAATGAACTTTTTTATTTAAAAAAAAAAAAACAAAAACCCTCAATCATGCTGAAGAGAATGCTGAGTAGCAAAGGCCCAAAATGCAGACTGATGAGGACAGGAGCTTATTGAACTTAAAATGAATAGGAATGTTTTCATGCTGGTTTAAAACCCCAAATGTCTGTAAAAGGTACTCTTTTTTTTTTTTTTTTTTTTTTTTTTTTTTTGGTAGCTTTACATTTAAACCTTTCCCGGCACTGCTGGGGACCAAATGCAGCTGCAGCATTGGGCTAAGGTATAAAGAAAAGAAAGTGAAACTAAATCAGCTTCTCTGCTCTTCACTCTGTTGAAGCAAAGCTAATCAATAAACAGCACAAAGGAGAAAAGCAAACTTTTAGATTTGAATCTTCAGATTCAAAAAGTCTAAGTTGTTAATAACACAAGCACAGTAGTATTTTCCTAATTTTTGAGAAAGACGCTCTAAATTTTATGGGCACCATTTTGCACCCACCGATTGTTCCTGCAGCTAACAGGCTTGGTTTGTAGAATTGACACCATTAGCTACCTTGTTTGTGGAAAGTCGGGAAGCTAGATGTCTGAGCACCATGAATTGCGTCTGCAGTTATCTGTGGGCATGATTACTTGAAGACACAAAATTGCACCCATATGATCAGAACATGTGGCGAGGCAACAATCGGAGCTTTTTTGTTGCTACAGTGTCCCTTTAAAATGTTTCCCAAGAACATCTGAGACTTTATAAAAAGCAATGAGGGGCAACCACGTAGATTGTTTGACAAGGAACATTTTGGTGCCGCTGCAGTGTGGTGTGCACAAAGCAACTTTAAGTCCTCTTTTGTGTTCCTCTGATCTAGGGACGGCTGTGCCTCAGCCTGTCATTTGGCATACCCTAGAATGGTACAGGGAATCCCTGGCTACATCCTAACCCCAGCCATGCCTCATGCTCTGGTCATCAGCAGTGTATGGCATAGGCACTGCTACAGATGCTCTACCCCCACATATGAAGCCCTCTATTAGGAGGAATCTTCCTTTGGCTGAGTAAGCTGGTTTTAGGGCTGCTTTCTGCACTGCTGGAATAGTACAAAGGTGGCTTAATGCAGCAGGATGTGGCCCACTGGGTAAAATACCTGTCATAAGTGGGTCTGGTGCCAGCTATTGAGCCTGGATCTCCATTGCCCTGCACCTCGTGTAGTCACTTATATCAGTGCAAAGTGGAGGTAAAATGCTACCACACCAGATTGGGTTGCACTCCTGTAAGTGACTACACAAGTTAGAGGCTAATGGAAAATGAGGCACACAGAGTCCAGTTGTGTTGGGCCTGCTTGCCCCAGATCAGCGTGTGGCCCAGTTGTTACTTATGCCTTGAAATGGTTAAATCTTTTTTTGGGTTTCTTTCACAATCTGCTGCTACAACCAGAAAGTGAAGAAAGTCTTTTGGTAGCTGTTATCCTTAATGTTGTTCAGTTGGGGTGCAAATAAAAGGAAACTTTCTTCTCTTCTCCGTGGCTTTGCTGTTTACAAAGTCACATGTATTCCTTATTGTGGTGTCTCCCCACACTCTGGCTTCCTGTTGTACCACTTATCAAAAAAACACCCTGTTGCAAGACCCCAGGCCGCTCTGTCAGTCACAAGCGGCTCCTCTGAGCTGGCTCTCACAGCACCTGTTGTCTGTCTGTGCCAATAACATGAAAGCTTTTTTTTGGGATTTCCAAAGAAATAGTCAAATCCAAGTGGCTTCAGCTGTTAATTCCCAAGCATGGCTGTTGACACAGGCCAAACTACTGCCAGTGAAAGGTTCCTCTTGAACTGAATGCCTGTAAATACACACCTAGGCTGTACTGCTTTACCGCTTTGTCTGATCCTTGTGTATGAAAGGAGCAAAGATTCAGAGTGCACTCAAGAGCACCATTCTGTTCTGTTTGGGCCCAATTCATCATTGCCCTGCATCTTGTGTGGTCACTTTCACTAGTGCAAAGTGAATGCATGAACACTGCCCTTCTGATCTGATAGCATCTTGTGCTTATTTTTGCACGGGGTAAATGATTGCTCAAAGCACAAGGCCCTGTCTGGCCTGTTTCATGAGCCAAATACTTTATTCCACTACACTCTGAGCTACTCCACTAAGTCAATGGAAGAGTCTTTCTAATCTAGAATATAAATTCTGCCCCCACTCTTAAAAATGTGAGTAGGGGCTAGTCTCCTTTCTCATACTGACGTAATGGCTTCAGTGGAATTACTCTTGATTCTCACCACTGTGAGTGAGAGCAGTCTCTTTAGCAGTGGAGAACTGAGCCCTCTCACCTTATGTAGACACTTACATCTGGGCTAAGTGGGTACAAACTGCAACCATTCTGATCTGGTACCTAATAGGGTATCTGCACTTGGTGCAAGGCACACAGGTGTCTTCAGTATTGTGCCCTGAAAACTTTCTCAGAGCAGGCACTGAAGGTGTGATGAATGCAGCCCTAATAAATTCACGCTGAGGATACCAATAAGGGTATCTAATTAGCAGCCCTGGTAGTGATTTTTTTTTTTTTGCAGCAAGGACAGCTTCTCACTCCTGAATTGTACTCAGACCAAGAACTTGTTTTCCAGAGGCCGTCAGACTTGGC